AGACACCGTTATGGGCACAGGGGGTCCTTGCTGTGGGGAGCCTCACCCCACCTGACCCCATAGAAGTGGGGAGGGACTGCTGTGAGCGGCCCTCAGGCGCGTCCCCGAAAGGGGGAGTGCCCTGGGCAGCCCCACAGACACCTCTTTCTCCCCAAAAACAGGGCACTGGGGAAGCCTCTCAGTCAGCAGCCCCTCACCGCCCCACAGAAAGGTACCTGGGGGGTCCTCAATCCCTCTCCCCCCACACAAAGAGTGGGCTGGGGTGCTGGCAGTGGGGCTCTCGTGTCCCAGGAGGCTGGTGCTGAGCCCTCGGGTCTCTCCTGCCTCCCTGAGAGCCTGGGACCCTGTGGGGCTGGGCCAGGCCGTGCTGGCAGGGCACCGGGGACAGACGGTGCTGAGCATATTTGTGGGTAAAAATAGATGTTTGGTGTGCGGAGCCAGCTGTCACCTGCCCTGCTAACCACCGTGACACGGTGTCGTGGAGGTTCTGCCCTGCCCTTAACGTTTCTCGGGGTGGTTTCTCTGGCTGGGTGGTTAAATTTGCTGTCTTCCCCCCCTCCTCTGTCCCTTTGCCATGGGACGCGTCCCTGGGGTGGCCACCAGCGCGGTGGGGTTGTAGCTCAGAGAGAAAGGGTTTGTATCGGTCCAGGTGACAGCTGGATGTCAGCAGACATCAGACGGACATCCAGCCCCATAGGAGGGTGAATGCTGTGCTTCAACTCCAGAATAGCTCCTCCCGGCTTTGTTTTCTCATGTCTCTTGCGATCCACCCCCCAGGCTTTCTCCTGTGACTTCCTCAAGCTAACCAAGCCTTGTACTCGGCTGCCACGAGAACTCAGGGAATTGTTTTTCCATCTGTTCTTGCTCTTAATTGGATTTTGTTTTAAATACTATGTGCCTGGATTATTTATGGAGGGGGAGAAATGTGTAACAGCACATCTGTTTTTCAGAGTATTTAGACTTGTCTTTACAAAACTTATTTATGTTCTAGATTAGGCAGTGACCCCCTGCCCATTCCCGCTTCTCCTTGTCCACCTGCAGCACCTCGGGAAGGGCACCTTCAGTAAAGGCTGGTTTAGGGGCAGCGTATTTCAGGCAAAAATAGGCAGTCTGAAAATTAATTTTCTATGTGGTTCCAGTAATTTGAGCTGTAACAACTAGAGCCTGATTGTGGCATTCGAGTTGGAGCAACCCAGTGCATACCGCTTAAACAGTAAGGGAGTTCTCCTCCACGGGGAAGTCTTGACAAACCGAACGGGTTTTTTTAATCTTCATCTTTTCATATTGCTCCTTTCAGACAGTGTTTGTTGGAAAGAACAAGCCACAGAAGGATCCGCTGAGCTCCTTGCGCTGGCAGGGCTTCAAGCTGGACGAGTATCTCATCGGCCAACCCATCGGGAAGGGCTGCAGCGCCGCCGTGTACGAAGCAGCTATTCCTTCCTCTCGCCATCACCGTGCGGAGAGCGGCCGTCTCGCGGGGCAGGGGCCAGCCGTGCCGCCGGATCATGACTCGGCTTCACAGGCGCCTGAAGAGGAGCCTGTGGAGAAACACCAAGCGCAAGAGGCTTTCCCGTTAGCTATCAAAATGCTGTGGAACATTTCGGTAAGCAGTCGGTTCCTAACCTCCTTGTCTGTTGCTTGGAAAGTCTGGCTGAAACGCTTAACACTTGAGTGTTGAAAGTGCCAGTGATGAGCGTGTCAAAGCAAAGCTGATACTGGGGACGTCAATTGTTAGCGAACGGTCCCAGAGCAAGGTAATTAGTGCTCATTGTTCCTCTGGAATCAGCACTGAGAGCTGCTGGTGGTGGTGACGTTCGTTACAGAGTTAGTGTTCGTGGAAGAAAAGCTTTTCTGAAGCTGGCTGTCGTGACAAGGTGTGAGAATGGGAGAGTCACTGCTGCCAGTGCTTCAGGAATCGGCGTCCTTGTTGGTGTTGGGATAGAAACAGCCAAGGCGTGAGTCTGTCGTCACAGGTCCCCTCGCCATGAAGCGAGCGGGTGTGATCTGTGCTGGTGTTTCTTGGCCCAGGGTGATCTCTCATGATCCCCCCTTTGATGTGCTGCAAGTAAAGGCCTTGCCACGTCCCTTGGTAAATTCCTGAAGCAGTTAATTGCCTTCCCCAATTTTGGAATGAGGGAAGGGAGTCCCTTCAGTCTAGTCTCAGCTGATCTACCTCCAGATACGTTGCCAGTGTCAAGATTATTCGCTTTCCATCCGTATTGGGCTGTATCCAGAGCAGTGTGGCCAGCAGGTCGAGGGAGGTGATTCTGCCCCTCTGCTCTGCTCTGGTGAGACCCCACCTGGAGTGCTGCGTCCAGCTGTGGAGCCCTCAATATCAGAAGGATATTGACCACTTGGAGCGAGTCCAGAGGAGGCCACGAAGATGATCAGAGGGCTGGAGCACCTCTCCTGTGACGAGAGGAGACCTCATTGCAGCTTTCCAGTATCTGAAGGGGGCTACAAGGGTACTGGGAGAGGACTTTTTACAAGAGCCTGTAGTGATAGGACAAGGGGTAATGGGTATAAATTGAAATCAGGGAGGTTTAGATTAGATATCAGGAAGAAAGTCTTCACAGAGAGGGTGGTGAAGCACTGGAACAGGTTGCCCAGAGAAGCTGTGGATGCCCCATCCCTGGAAGTGTCCAAGGCCAGGCTGGATGAGGCTTGGAGCAACCTGGGCTAGTGGAAGGTGTCCCTGCCCATGGCAGGGGGGTTAGAACTGGATGATCTTTAAGGTCCCTTCCAACCCAAACCATTCCATGATTCTATGATTCTATGGATGATTTTGGAGCTTAAACCAACGTGGTGTGTTATTGCCATTGCAGGCTGGTTCCTCGAGTGAAGCCATCCTCGACGCTATGGGCCGAGAGCTTGTCCCAGCCACGGGGGTTGCCTTAGCCGGAGAATACGGAGCCGTCTCTGGGCGCAGGTATCGTCACGATGGAAGCGGTGGCGGTTCTCAGACGGTGACACGCCCTTTTTATCCATCAGTTAATTTAGCAGCACATCTGTACCGTGAAGAAGATGGCTGGAAGATTCTGTAGATAAAAAAGGAAGGCTTGGGATTATTAACAGCGCCGGAGGTGTGTGCACACGTTGTGTCCGAACGATGGTGATGCCGTGAAATCCGAAGTCAGCAATCAGAACTCAGTAGTCAGGGTGACTGTTAAGCAGGTTTTCTTTATTGCAGTGCTGGGCACACAGGGGATCGCTCCCCCAAAGTGTGCACACCGAGCCCCATTCGTAACAAAAGCTATAGAGAGGTTAAACGGACCTATTCATAGAATCTCCGAGAAGTGTTTAACGTATTCCTCGTTTGCCCAGGAATTCATCTGCCTACATCCCCTCCTCTTGGCCCATGCGTGTTCCCTCCTGGTGGTGGTCTCCGAGAGGCTTTGGGGATCCTCTGGTGGTCCTCTTGTAGTCCTTTTGCCAGTAAACCTTTGACCTCTTCTCTTCTTTCGTGCTTGCATAAGCAGAATTTGGTTTAAGCCGGTTCTTTTAACTCACCTTGACACATAGTTTGTCTTTTGTGGTTCAGGAGATGTGTCTTGGGTGCCAAGTTCTCATAAAGCCAGACAGTATCTCAGCTGTTTTAAACATCAGGGTCGGCTATCTACATTAGGAAATAATGGGAGCATTACACAACTAACTGTACAGAGTTAGTATGTGGCTTTAAAATCAAGGATTAATATTTATATATTTCTTCAATGGTGCCTTCAGAAGTGCTGCAAACCTCAAGCGTTGTGCAGGGGTGGTCTGCCAGCTGCCCTAGGGGTTTTTCTGCGGTGTGCTTTTCTCCAGCACAGTTAGGAAACAGCAGAGCCATTCTGCTGGAATAGGAATGGGCTGAGGGGCTGGTTAGGGAATTGGCTGCAAGGGCAGGGGGGTCACTGTCTGTGTTCTTTCTGCCCAGATGCCTTCCAGGGCAGGAACTCCAGTTGGAGGATTTCCTTCACGTGCAGTCCCATAACCTGTACCAGGCAGCCTTAATGCTCTCGCTGATAAGGTTTTCCCTGCAGGTTATAGGTGTTTGGCACTCTGTGGTGGGGAGGACGGGCCACGATAGCAGAAGGTAGTTTCAGAAGCGACGGATGTGTCGGATAAATCAGAACCGACCAGGAGATCAATGTAATCTGTGGTATCTATATTTTTGCGCAGAAAACCTGTCCTTGGGAGGAAGAAGTTGCAGCCTCATCCCAATATAATCCAGGTGATCCGAGCATTCACATCCTCCGTCCCTTTGCTGCCCGGAGCCTTCACAGACTATCCCGATGTTCTTCCGTTAAGCCTGAATCCCAGAGGGATCGGACACAGCCGCACGCTTTTCTTGGTGATGAAGAAGTAGGTAGAGAGAAGCGACTCGGGCTTTTCGTGACGCTGCCCAGCGGGGCTGCGTATCCTGCTGCGACACGGGTCCTGGCAAAGATTTGGCCTCGAAAGCTGCCAGAGCAGAGAACGCTCTGACAGGCCTCCTCACGCCCGTTCCAAGGCCTTGAGGTTTTAAGTCTTGGTTGGCAATGAAGACAAGCCGTGCTCTTTCTTAATCACCCCACAGTACAGTATGAAATGCAGAGCTTGTCCCCATTTGTCTGCCCTTACGTCTGAACTTTGCCCCTAGTCGGAACACGCTGCTGGAGACGGAGTAGAATGGGGAATGAGATTGATTCATGCTCGGCATCTCTGGCTTTCTCAGCTGGGTTTTGCTTTTGAGGGGGCATTGCCATGGCACTGACATAAAAGCGCCTTCTGTTTCCAACTCTTTTGTTGTGCCGGCCTCCAGAGAAGCGCTCTGTATTTTGAGAACGCGTTTTTTCTCCTGATTAGCACATCTCCTCCCTTAGCGCTACCGATCTCTGTCCTTACTCTGCCTCCTCTTCTCTGCAAAGCACACCACTGGTACGTAAGAAGCTGTCACAATGACGCTGGATGCCTGGAGCCCCTCGCCGTGCTGTTTAGGAGGCTTATTTGATTCACGCTTGTTGAACTCGGGCGAGAGCTCTGAAAATTCAGTGGTGGGTGTTGCAAAGCGGAGGATGTGAGAATGGCAGACAGGGGAGCAGTCTCAGGTTGAGGCTGGGAGGTGAAAAGGCACGGTGGAGGTTGGGAATAGTTTGCCTTGTGTAAACATGCAGTATCCCCAGCCATCCAGCATCGAGGCCGAGTGGTGATTCCAGGATGCTAATCCAGAGATTTTCTTTGTTCGGACTAGTTATCCCTGCACCCTGCGCCAGTATCTGAGAGGGACCAGTCCGGATGTTTTTCTGTCCACGATGATGATTTTACAGCTTTTGGAAGGCGTGGATCATCTCGTTCGACATGGAATAGCACACAGAGACCTCAAGTCCGACAACATCCTGGTTGAATTTGATTCTGGTATGTAGATCGCCGAGTGTAAGTGCCGTCACAAGTCACGCACTGAAGTGATGCCGTTGTGTAGGTGTTCAGGGCAGTGCTGCCTTGGCTGCGGGCTCTTGCCTCTGTCACCTCTCAGTAGCCAGGTAGCACAGGGTGGTTCTTAAAATCCCACCTCTTGGTCGGGTGAGCACTGCTGCGCCCTGGGATGATGAAACATCGCTTGGAAGTCAAGGGAACCGACAGCGATAAAGCCAAAAGTGGCGTTGTCATCGTCTCGTTCTCCTGTTGGCCTCTCCAACGGAGATGTTAATTACCTGAGCTCTTTTCCAGCGTGACTGAGATGGGAATGGGCAGGAAGCGACAGCGAGCAGGCAGATTCCTGTAATTAAAGGTCTTGGTACAGCAGCTGGGGAAGGTTTTCAGTGATACTACTGCCATCCTTCTTTTCTGAAGGAAAAGCTGCCCTGGAGCTATGCTGAATGCGGTTAGGAATGATCTGAAGCATGGATTTTTCCATATTGTAGCCTGGAGAAGTCATGATTCTACTTTGCAACATTTGCCCTGTCATGGGGACAAAGACCTGATGCAAAGTTACTCCAGCCTTTCGCTCTGGCTAACTATATACGTTGATAGTTTTTGCTGTCGATAAAAACCAAGGGGGGAAAAAAAAGAGCGTGTTCCTCCGTCGTGGATGAGCCTCTGACCTTGTGTGTTGTCCGTGTTTTGGTATCGGCGGCATTTTGGGAGACGCACATTCCCATAGGAGTGTTAATATCCCCTAAAGTGGAAGCGGAATATCAGGTTTTGTTGTAACAAACCTGCTATTTCACCTCATAATATAGAGGAGAAGTGGGAAACCAGCGTGTGGTTGTGCTGATTCCCGGGGGTTTTGCGGTAGTGCCCGAAGACGGTCTCTGCGCCCCTGTGATGTGGTGTCTAATACAGCCAGGTGCTCCCGAACGGAACGCTGACTCTGCTCACCCCGTGTTGTTCGCAGCTGGCTGCCCCTGGCTGGTGATCACAGACTTCGGATGCTGTTTGGCAGATGAAAACGTCGGCTTGAGACTGCCTTTCACCAGCTCATACGTGGATCGGGGCGGCAACGGCTGTCTTATGGCCCCCGAGGTAAATCCCCCTGGAGCAGTGGTTTGTGTTGCTGGTTGTCTGCTTGCCCTGTTGTCGGGAGTAAAACAGTTGGGCCCCAGGCTGTGACAGGGACTTGAGAAAGGGCAGGATGAGGCCCAGAAGCAGCAGAGGGCATTGTGTCGCTGTGATTTGTCCCTGACCCTTCCCCCAAGTGTACACACCAAGGTTTGGCCAGCGGTCCTTGTGTTGCGACAGTAGGTTTTGCGTGAAGTTCAAGGTGGTTGGGAAATTATTTACAATTCCTTTTTATTTCTCTGACTGTAATGAAAGCAGAAGACATCCTTAACTGTCCGCTTGACCTGGAGCACCTGGCCTTGCATTGCTTACGTGCTGGTGCAGGTTGGTGATCTGCCCTCAAATCCCAGCGTGAAGCAACCCCCGGGACTCTGAATGCTGCTCAGGGGCAAGGGCTAAAGCCTAAGCGCGAGGCCCACGCTCCTCCCTGTGTCCAGGCGAGCTGAGCAGTGTCTAGAGTGTGCCAACAGCGAATATTTACACACGAGGTTTAGGTGCAGCCTAGCTTTGGTCTCGTTCTCTCTCAGTCAGTTACAGGGAAAATGCTGATGTCACCCTCCACATTAGTTTTAGCACAGAGCCCGCACTGGAGCTGTTTATTTGAATGTCCCCCTCGCTCTGGCAGGTGATCACAGCGTCGCCTGGTCCAGGCACGGTGATCAACTACAGTAAAGCTGACGCTTGGGCCGTTGGAGCGATCGCTTATGAAATCTTTGGCCTGGCCAATCCTTTCTACGGCCACGGGGAATCAACTCTGGAAAGCAGAACGTACCGGGAAGACCAGCTGCCAAGCCTGCCCGCTCATGTGCCCCTTGAGGTGAAGGAAGTGGTGAAGAGGCTCCTCCAGAGAGATCCCAGCAAGGTAAGGAATGCTCGTCCCAGAGAAGTCCTCTAACCAGCCTTGGGGTTGTGGAACATTGCTCTGGAGGGCTCAGGACTGTAATCCCAGCACTGCTGCCATCCAGATAACGATTAGATTATTAGATCTAGATTATTAGATTATTAGATCTGCCGATAACGATAGCAGCTCTGAGGAGAAGGACTTGGGGGTACTGGTGGACGAAAAACTGCACATGAGCCGGCCGTGTGCGCTGGCAGCCCAGAAAGCCAGCTGTATCCTGGGCTGTATCCGGAGAAGTGTGGGCAGCAGGGCGAGGGAGATGATTCTGCCCCTGTACTCGGCTCTGGGGATACCCCACCTGGAGTGCTGCGTCCAGCTGTGGAGCCCTCAATACCAGAAGGATATTGACCACTTGGAGCGAGTCCAGAGGAAGCCACGGAGATGATCAGAGGGCTGGAGCCCCTCTGCTATGATGGAAGGCTGCAAGAATTGGGCTGGTTCAGCCTGGAGAAGAGGAGGCTCCGAGGGGACCTCATTGCAGCTTTCCAGTATCTGAAGGGGCTACAAGGGTGCTGGGAGAGGACTTTTTACAAGAGCCTGTAGTGACAGGACAAGGGGTAACGGGTACAAATTGAAAACAGGGAGGTTTAGATTAGATGTCAGGAAGAAATTCTTCCCAGAGAGGGTGGGGAAGCACTGGGACAGGTTGCCCAGAGAAGCTGTGGATGCGCCATCCCTGGGAAGTGTCCAAGGCCAGGCTGGATGAGGCTTGGAGCAACCTGGTCTAGTGCAAGGTGTCCCTGCCCATGGCAGGGAGGTTGGAACTAGATGATCTTTAAGGTCCCTTCCAACCCAAACCAGTCTGTGATTCTATGATTCTATGATTGAAGACAAAGAAAAGGTCTTTGCTCAGGCAGGGTGCGGCCTCCCGCACATGGCACGGAGAGTCAGGGATCTCAGCAGGTGTTTGGGTCAGGACCTGGACCTTGAACTGAGCAGTTACGTGCAGTTGTCGCATGAAATAAATAGTCCCATGAGCTTTTTTTACTCACAGAGACTTTGCGGTGCCTTGGGGGAGGATTGGGACAGGGGGACTCTGGGCAGTGGACATGCTACATGCCGGCAGTGCGACGGTGTAGCGGCAAGATCGGTTAATCTTCCCTCTCCTTCCTTTTGCAGAGGTTGTCTGCACGAGTTGCTGCTAACGTGCTTCACCTAAGCCTCTGGGGCGGAAGCGTTCTGGCGTCCCAGGCCCTGGAACCCGACCAGATGATCGCCTGGCTCCTCTGCCAGTCCGCGGCTGCTTTGCTTACGGATGGGCTGGTGGATAAAAGCCGGGTAGAAACCAAAATGAAGATGTGCTTTTTGGCAAACCTGGAGTACGAAGACCTCTGGGCAGCAATATTCCTGTTGCTGGCCTGGAGAAGCCGCTCGGGGTGAAGAGTTGTACCTTCGGCGACACGAGCCTGCGGTAGATAAACGGCCCTTTCTAGAGGCACATCGGGATCCGTCTTTTCCATCTGCCCAGAGTCCTGTAGCGCTTTAGGGAACGGACCTGCAAGCCTGCATGTAAGAGGTTGAGTTTAGCGAGCGTTAGTCCCCACTGCTCTTCTCTCCCTGCTTGAGGAAGGGCCCTGGTTTCGTTTCTCTCCCTCGGTGAGGGTTTGCAGGTGTCCTGCGGTAGGGGGTTGGTTTTGCTGGCATCTGGGAATTCACCAGTGACGTCGGAGGTGTGTGTGGAATGAAACAAGTTCCCTTTCAGCCCCGGGTGCGGGGGGAGGCGGCACTGTTGAGCTGCTCTTTACGCGGAAGCGTCACCGATTTAAACGATACCCTGGGAAAGCTGAGCTGACAAAGGGACGTGGAATCTTTCTTCTCGCAGGGAAGCCGGCAGGTGTCTTGAGGTGGGATTCCTCTGCAGCCACAGCTGTATCTTGCTAGAGAAGGACAGCCTAAATGCCTCCTAGCGAGGTGCCGGCTGGCAGGGTGAGCGTCGGGAGCTGCTTGCCTCTTAGGACAGCGCACCATTACGTACCTAGCCAGCTGTATTCAAAATAGCGCACGTACGATGAGCCCAAAATCCACTCGGATTTGTTTCCTGACCCTGCTGTGGGGTCTGAGACGGAGTCACACAGCATCCTGTTAGGGATAACACTGCAAACGCCATGGGGCTGAGCAGCAGTGCCTGCTTTTTAGTTGAGTGTGATGCTCCGCTGTTTCACGTACCAGCTTCTTCCGTTGAACAATGAAGTCATATCCTTTGGTTGGGGAGGGTGGGAGACATCCACGTTTGAACAGCAACAGTCGTGTCTATGAATGCACCCTGTGTTTAGAGGAACTCGGGGAGAAAGTCGTTTATGCTTGTTGCACAATAAATTGAAGATCAAGCCCTGCTGCTGCGTGGCTTCTCCCAGTCGAGTTCATCTCGGTTTGTGCGATCCAGGCTGCGGGGGCCCGGGGGTGATGTAGCCCTGGCTCGGTGGCGTCTTCCAAGACCATTTGGCTCTTTCCAGTACCGCCCCTGGAGCACGGTATTTTATTCCACCGAGGGGAGTTTCCCCAGAGGTTCGGCCCTTGTGTCCCTTTCGTACCCGCCTGACCGGTAAATCACTGCCTGCTCCTGCGGTTTCCAGGTCAGTGACACCGTGTGCCGAGCGGCTGATGTCACCGAGCACATCGCGCGCAGTAACCTGCCGTGGAGGTCCAGGAGGCTGAAACGTGCCTGGTTCAGCACCGGTGCAGAACGACCCCCCAGGAACAGCCCTGCTCGTTGTGCCTTTGAGCACCGCACGCTGCTGGGACCGCGCTGAAGGCTCAGCAAAGAGCTCACACCCCGGGAAATCACGGAAAAGGAGTTCTTTGGGCAAAAAGTTGCAGAGGAAGAACTTTTTTATCCTGGTCTGACCCTAACCGAAGCTGCTGCTGCTGCTTTTGCTTAGAGACGAGCTCTTGCGAGTGGGATGGCCGCCTTGAATTTGAGTGCTTGCTCTCGTGTGCCCTGTGCCCCTGCACCTAGCAGCGAGGCCGGTTTCCCGGACACTGTCTCTGGAGCTTTTGGAAGAGTAAATACTGTTGCTGTTTTGGCAGAGCTCTGGCCTCTCTGTTGATCTGCTCGTTGAGCCAGCAAGAGCTGCTTAGCTCAGCAAGGCGCCGCTCATGTTGCTGTGAGTCTTTCCTTATCCCTGCGGTGCCGGAATACGCACGCAGTCATATCCAGACCCCCTCTGTGGGGCAGGCTTTCTGCTGCGAGATGCTCTGGGGTTTTTTACCCCCTTGATCTTCCTCCCAGGCCCAGTCACTACACGAGCAGGGAGCAGAATTAGGAGCTGGAGCCGTCTGATTTCTGTCCTTAGGCCAACCGGGGTTTGATCTGTGCTGGTTAACTCCAAACTTTGGGAACTTGCTTCCTGTGGAAATCATCTCATTTCATCTCTCTGTCCTCCAAAATGGCCTGAAACGCTTGTCCCGCAGCACCACCTCCGCTTCGCAAATCCCATGCCTGCTGCTCCCTCCCTTGGGATTGGTCTGTACCTCGGGTTCTGCTGCCGTTGTCTTTCATCGCCCGGACGAGACGTTGTCATGCTTCTCCGGCACCCCGGGCACTCTCGTAAAGCACTGTTGCAGGCACAGCCGCTGCCCTACTTTCGGCAAAAGCTTTGAGGGGAGCAAACCTGGAATGTTTCCCTCTCGCCCTGACGCTCATCCCTAGGCTGGAGACGCTCCAGCTGCAGCCCTGTGCTGCCGTGTTCCCAGTGTTTGCCGGGAAGCAGACCATGCCGTGGAGGAAAGGGGGTGGCGGGGAGGGGAATGTGTGTCCCTGGACGAATCCACGGGGTATCCGGCTGCACTTTGAACCCCAGAGAGGGCGGGATGGCGGAGGCAGCTGGCTCTCTGCCCGGCTGCGTCGCTCCTGAGAGGGAACGGGCTCCGCGGCAGCCCTCGCTCTGCTCTGCGTGGGGCAGAGGGTGGGAGCCCGTGGGGCAGGATGAGGTGCCTGCTGTGGGCTGGCTGCAGCCCACTGCTGCCCCGGGCAGCCGGGCTCTGTGCTCGCAAACTGTCTGTGGCTG